TTATTTTACTGTAGATGTCTCTTTGTTTGAGACTGACTCTTCATTATAGATGTTACAAACCTTGAGTAAAAACTAATTAAGAGCTGCCCAACCCCTCTAGGCAGTGTTGAAAACTACATTTTGATAGCACTAATGCCATTTGGGCAAGTGACTCTCAAAATGCACTTGCTTGGTGTAAATTTCACTCACCCCGAAAGATGCCTCCCCTCACCCCAAAAAATCTCTGCAATGATTCACAAGCCTATGTTTTTTCGGGATCTCATAATCATGGACACCCAGCTTGACATAATTTTCATGTTGAAATTTCTTGTTTTGGTTTATTTATGTGACACCTCCTCAGGATCGCAGACCGATTTTACTGTTTTATCCTCATTTTTATCATCAACTTTTGACAGACCTTGGAAATATTTCCACATTTCCTTAGTGTTAACTGAAAAACAGCTAAACAAACATCCCTAGAAACAAGACATTCAGGAGTAAACAACTTGTCAATTTTTTTTGTTTCATCCCTATTGCACTCATGCATGTAATCCAAGCATTGCTTGATGAGTGGAACATGTGTGCACTAACAAAAGTAGCTGGCATGTACACCACCAGTGCTTAATAGCGGAGCTCCGGCGGCCCAAAGGGCCACCAAGCGGAGCCCCATACTCATGTGGGAAAGAAAAGGAAGCCCATGAGTTGATTTTCTTATGGTTATCATGGCTAGCGGTATTGTTCGTGGGCACGTACACACAACGGCGATGACGATGATGGAGTCGTGCAACATGGCAGCCATACTCCAAATATTAGGTTAACAGAGACATGCAGCCTTAGTTTACCGTGTACTTCTTTGATATTGGACATCCATGTTATGATCAATTGACACCTGTCAAAACAAGGTATCCACTGACCAGTATCACATGACCATGTCGTGGGCTCAAGTTTACAGCTCATCAAGGTCACGTGTTTTTTTGAAGTTGGCCACTGACCAAGTGCTGGTTTTCGATTGGATCGCGGGCTTATGTCAGCTTGTTGAAAACAGAGCGGGATTGTTTGGAAGCCGGTTAACGTTAACCCAGGATTAAAAGTTAATTGAATTATAACTTTTTCTTCTAATTATACAAATGTTTTTTGCTACTTTGTTTTGTGTATATGGTGATTATTAAAACTCAAAACAGAAGGCAAAACAGAAGGTCAAACAATATACAGAAAACCTCACCACAAAATTACATGAAATCAAAATTCTACCTTTTCCTGGGTTAGCTTAATCGGGCTCTGAACATCCCAGCCCAGGAGCTACACTTTTAGGCTGGCCTAAATCTATATATTAACTGTTTCAAACAATCATGTGTTCTGCCTGGAAATATCCAACCTGTATACTACTCTTCAAGAAAACTTGTAACATACCGATATAATTCTTACTATCAACATATGAATTCGTATAACAGGTTCTAATCAAATATCTGCACGTACAGCTCCTGCTATTCTCATTTAAACTACTTCATTCAAAGTTCAACTGCCTACTTGTCCACATGTATAAAGATGTAGCTTGGGGATTGTTAGCTACTTTGTCAATGTTAGAAGGCAACTCATTATCAAATACAAAACAGGACAAATGCAGAACAACTGACTCGCATTAAGTTCTAAAACTGATCATTTTTTGGAAACTTTTTTAAATACTAAAATTAGTGAACAACAGGGTCGATACATTTCGCTGACCCCTAGTCCATGGACTACCCCGATGAACCTGGTCCATGGACTACTTGAATGGACTACCCGTGGACTACCCTAAATGGACCACCCTGAACTTTGTGGCAAACATAAATTTAACGATGCTAGAACCTGAACAAAAGATGAGATCGATCAACAAACACATTACGGAATACTTACGATGTAACAGATTTAACGATCCGAACAAAAGATGCGATCAATCAGTTGCAATTTAATCCTCAAACTTTTCCTACCTTAACATCTGGACCTTTGTTACAATTTTAATATTGGATCCGAGCAAGTTTTTCTTTTATTACCTACATGATAAGACACGACATTCACATAACCCCATACACCCATAGAGGGGGACATAGGGATTTGTGGTGTTGCGGCATTGATGTTTTCTTAATGCGGTGATGCGGTGATGCGGTGAATAAATTCTCAACTTGTGGTGTTGGGGTGATCTCAAACCCTGCGATGTGCGATGTTTGTGTTTTTCATGCTGTGGTGTTTGGTGAAATGAAATTGTTTGCAGTGCTGGGGTTTTTTGATTTACCATTCTCAAACCTAAATCTGACCTAAATTTAGCATGTAAACTT